CTCAGCAGCCAGGACCCCTGCTCTGGCCCTGTCACCCCCCACCAGGGATGTTGCACAGGGCCTGCAAAGAGGGTGGAGAGTGACCAGAGCCAGCCCAGAGCTCCCCAGGCCCCTCTGCAGCTTTGGCCATGTCCATTGACATCTGGTACTCACGATCTAACCCAAACCCCTTGCAGTGCCCACTACCCCAAGGCAGAAGTGGATCCCAGCGCACCATGGACGTGGTTCTGATCTGTACTGGCTTCTAGACTGGGATCAGGACATGGATTATCTGGAAGCCCGGCTAGATGACAGCTGGCAAGACTTGGAGAATGCTGGAGGCAAGTTCTCAATGTGCTTTTCCTGATGGAATAATGTCAAGGTGGCAAGAGCTCACTCATGTGCCATATCCCTTAACATAATCTCAGGGCTGAAGGATTCTGGAAGCCTTGCCCTGCTCCCTTCTGGAGCCTTGAGTGATCCCCCAGCATCGCTGTCAGTGGGAGGAAGGAGCATTTAGCTGTCAATCTTCTTCCTGTGTGCAATGCCAGTGTCTCCTTCCATGTGCTCTGTGCAGCCACGGAGAGGAGCAGAGAGGGAAGGGGCTGTGCCCAGGGCTGTGCCTTGTGCAGCTCCTTTGCCAGCCCCAGGGAGCCTGAGGATCTCCTACAGAGCCACGGGAGCTCTTCTGTTCTGCCTTTCCTTGCAGCCAAGCCTCTTGGTGAAGGTGATCTGGCTTCCCAACCCACGTCCAGGACTGAGGCCCTGGGAGATGGCGAGGGTAGGTGAAGGCCTTTCCCTCTGGGAGAGCTGCCAGCTCAGAGCCCAAAGCTCAGCCAGGGCAGCATTGCTGCAGGTGTCAGGACAGAGCCGTGCACGTGTGTGCCCTCACCCTGCACGATCCCCTCACTACTGCTCAGAATTGGCAGCTTTTTGGAGGAGGGAGGGCCCTGGCCCTGGCCCAAAAGCCAAGGCATTTTTTGAACCTTATCCCCGTATTTGACAAGCATGAGGTCCTGAAAATGCCAGCACCCAAATCAAGAACTTCTCCATCTGGTTCAGCTGTGCCTCTTCCTTTCTCAAGGGATGGACCAAAAGACCATGCAGGTGGAAATGTTTCCCAGAGGAAGCAGTGGCTCATTGGCAGGAAAGAAGGCGATGCCAGGCACAGGCCCAGACACAGGAGGTAATTGCTGTGCTGGGCTCAGCCCTTGGCGGGGCTGTGTGCCAGCAGCTCTTCCCCTAGGGCTGGCCCTTGCATGACCCAGCAGCAGCCAAAGCTGGAGGCACCTCGGCTTCCAGGCCTCTGGAGCTCATTTCCAGCTCCTGGGAAATGGGACTTATGCACCAACATCTATCCCACTGCAGCTGCTCCCAGAGGTAGCCGTGAGCGCCCAGAGGCCCAAGGCACAGGAGCAGCCCCGAGCGGGAGCCCTGCCACGAGCCCAGGGCCACAGCCAGCCCTGGCTCCCAACTGGGCAGGGGCTGCACTGGCCCCTGACAGGGCCTGGCTCTGTCCCCTTGGGCTGGGGGAGATGTCATGGAGAAGGGAGCGTCAGGGGTGGCAGTGGCTGCTCAGGGATGGGTTTGGCCCGTGTCCCTGGAAGGAGCCACTGTCCAAGCAGCTGTGCTGCCCCCGGGCTCCGCTCTCAGCCTTCTGGGCTTTGTTGGGGGGCACAGCCTGTGCCAAGGGCCAACAAGGTGCCTGCAGGCCCCAGCTCTGGGGGAAACAGAGAACATCCTGGACATACCCACCATGCTGCCAGCTCAGCAGCGCAGCACAGCACGGGCTCTCACTGCCCATTGCTCCCACAGATGCAGCTGGCACCACAACATGTGTTCCCAATTCCCAGAAGGGCATCGGAAGAGGTTTCTGTCAGGGAACACGCTGTTGGCCAGAAGTAATGGCAGGCCTGATTTGTTTGGTGCATTTATTCGTTTTATATGGTGCTGGAATCTGGTATTGCTGGAAGAGAAAACAGTGAGTGTTTTGTTCATCTTTCCCTCAAACAGCTTCTTTTGAAAGTCTATTGTAGAATAGAAACATTCCCAGTGAGTCTGCTGTGGACCTGTAGATAGTCAGTGGTTGTCCAAATAACTCTGCTGAGAGTTCTGCTGCTGCCCAGGGCTTTAATTGGCCTCTTAATTGCTGGGCCTTGTCCTGGGGAGCCCGCTGGGGCTGCAGCCAGTGCTGGCTCCCACTGAGGCTGCCTGGCCAAGAGCAGCCCCAGGAGCAGCGGGCAGAGGCAAAGCAAGGTGGGCAGGAGAAAGAGCGGGGACGAGATTGCCCTTGAAAGGCAGAGGCGCTCTGGGGCCCGCTCCTGGCCAGGGACCCTGCCCAGAGCCATCCCCTGCTCGCCAGGGCCTTGAGGGGCAGCTGTCCAGCTGGGCCAAGCTGTGCCAGCAGCTCCAGCCATGCTGGGGAGCCTTGGCCGCTCTGGGCCCTGCTGTGCAGGAGGGTCCCTGCGTGCCAGCGGCAGCTGGGGGCCTCAGCCACCTCCTCTCTCCACAGGAGCGCCTCTGCACCTCCAGATGTCCTGCCAAACACGTTAGTCTGGGAGACCTGCACCCGTCTTCCTCCATCACCAAACCAGTGTCCGTTGTCCCTGCCACAGCTGCATTATCAGCTTATTGCTGTGCCGCCACCACCCAGAACAGGACCCTCTGTCCCTGCAGGTGCTGGCCCTGGTGCCTGGCCAGGCCTGAATGTGGGCCCCTCCTGCCAGGGAAGGGCTTGAGCAACACCTTTGGGCTTCTGCTCTGGGCTCTGGCTGGTACCACCAGCACTGGCACAGCTGCTTGGCTGGCCACAGCCTTGGCTGGGCAGGCAGCAGCCAGGCATGGGGCACCATATCGTCTTTGTTTTACATTTTTAGAAATTAGAAATTTTTAGAACTCTTTAGAATTATTATTGGTAGAAAGTAAACCCCAAATATTTCTTCCCTATTTCCATAGTTCTTTAGGATTTTTCAAATTAGTTTTAGAATTCTGAAAAGGCGACCCCATTTTGTCTTTGCTTTTCATTTTTAGAAATTTGAAATTTTTAGAAATATTTAGAAATATTTTTTGTAGAAAGAAATCTACAAACATTTTTTTACTTATTTCCATAGTAGTTCAGGATTTTTCAAGGTAGTTTTAGAATTCAGATAATCTTGGAACATTTTTACACATCTAGAATAAAAACTGAAATTGCATTCAATTGGTAATCTTTATTCTAGGAAGAACTAAGACACCCCAAAACACCCAGCCTACTGGAGAGGCTCTTTTCCCGCTGGAGATTTGTACCTCGTCTCAACAACTAACCTAAGACCTTTCCCCAGATATTTTTCGGGACTTCTGACAAGCTCCCCTCTTAGTGTTCAGAGGGAATCTTTGAGCACAGTGAGAATCTCCCGCTGTGCAGGAGGGTCCCTGTGTGCCAGCTGCAGCTGGGACCTCAGCCATCTCCTCTCTCAATAGGTGCCCCTCTGCAGCTTCACAAGAAAGGCCAAACACCTCCCTCAGGGACACCTGCACCACACATTTCACATCTCCATGCCCATGCCCAATGTCCCTGTCACAGCTGCATTACCAGCTTGCTGCTGTGCAGATGCTGCCACCACCCACAGCAAGGCCCTGTGTCCCTGAAGGGACCCGCCCTGCTCTGTGGCCTGGACTGAAGGTGGGTCCCTCCTGCCAGGGCAGGGCCCAGCACAGCTCTTCTGTTCAAATAAAGAGATGGAGCTCTCACCCCAGTGTCCAGCTGGTACCACCAGCAAAGCCCACACAGCACCAGCCCTGGCTGAGCCCCATGTCCAGGAGCAGGCAGGGCTGACCAGAGTGTGGGTGGCAGGAGCCAGGCAGGGGCTGCTGTGACCAGCAGCGGGGCACTGAGGGGCTGGGGGAGTCCGTGTTGAGCGTCCCTGGGATGAGGGCACATTTCCTTCAGTGGCATCACCTGGGCCTGGACCTCCTCCAGTGCCATGCCCAGGAAAAGAGGAAACCATCAAGGGCATCTCCTGGGACACCGCCTGACCAGCAATGTCAGCAGACAAAACCAAGGTTTTGTTTAGCAATGACCCTTTGATGAAGTCAAAGATTTACAGTCAGGGCAGTCCTCGAGTACAGATGGGAGTACACTTGGGGCAGACACCTAAGGCCATGAAGTCATAGCAGCCTCTGGGGTGACAGCAGGCTGAGGTGACAGCAGGCTCTGAGGTCACAGAGGTCCCAGAGCCCCATGGTTGCACAGCACCACGAGGACCGAGCAGTCAGTCCTTGACCACGACTGTTGGGCAGCAGTGGTGCTGACATTGGGACAGCGGTGTCAGGACAGCGGTGGCAGCAAGAGCTGCAGGACTGGCAGAGGGCAAGGCACCATGGCCTTTGCTCTGCGCCTCCTCCTCCTGCTCCTCCTGGCAGTGGCCCTGCCTGACAGGGCTGCCCAGGCTGCTCCACAGCGAGCACAGGGAGCAGGTGAGCCCGCAGCCTGGCTTCCCTTTCCTGGGACAGCACTTCCTTCTCCCTGGGAAGAGTTGGGGATGGTTTTCCCCAGGGCTTTGGGGAGGGTTTCTTCTGTGGGAGGGAGAGAGTCTCGAGGAGCTCTGGGCTGGGGATGGGGAGAGACCAGAGCCAGCCCAGAGCTCCCCAGGTCTCTCTGCAGCTTTGGCCATGTCTACTGACATTTGGCTCCCACAGCCTTAACCAAACCCCTTGCAGTTCCCAGTTCCCTAAAACAGAAGGGGATCCCAGCTCACCCTGGTAATGGTCCTGATCTGTGCTCCCTTCTAGATTGGGATCGTAACTTGCATTATCTGGATGCCCTCTTGGATAACGGCTTGAAACGCTTGGAGAATGCTGAGGGCAAGTTCTCAATGTGCTTTTCCTGAGAGAATAATTGGTGTCAGTGTGGCAAGAGCTTCCTCGTGTACCATATCTCTTAACATAATCTCAGGTTTGATGGATTCTGGAAACCTTGCCCTGCTCCATTCTGGAGCCCTGAGTGATTGCACAGCATCGCTGTCAGTGGGAGGAAGGAGCATTTAGCTGTCAATCTTCTTCCACTGAGCAATGCCAGTGTCACCTTCCGTGTGCTCTGTGCAGCCATGGAGAAGAGCAGAGAGGGAAGGGCTGGGCCCAGGGCTGTGCCTTGGGGCTGTGCCTTGCATGGCTCCTTTACCAGCCCCAGGGAGCCTGAGCTGCTCCTGCTGCCACTGCCAAGCCCTGGCCCTGCCTGGGGCTCAGATCAGAGCTGATGGCAGTTCCAGGGTGTCCTTTCTCCCCTGACTGCCATTCAAGAAGCTTCTTCTATCCTGGTGTGGGGCAACTACAGGCATGTGGTCTCCCTGCATGTGCTCCTGAGTGGAAGGCAGAGATGAGGAAGTGCCTTGGAGGTCAGCAATCAGCCAGGTGCCCTCACTATCACTCCAGCCTGAAAGAGAATCTTGAGCACTGTCCAGGACCTGTTTTGTCCTGCCTTTCCTTGCAGCTGAACCTATTGATGAAGGTGATCCAGCTTCCCAACCCATGTCCAGGACTCTGCCCTTGAAAGATGGTGAGGGTAGGTCAAGGCCTTTCCCCCTGGGAGAGCTGCCAGCTCAGAACCTTAAAGCTTGTCCAGCTGGCAGCAATGAGAGAAGCTTCTGTGGCTGTTGAGTTACAGGTGTGTCTGCAGGGAGGACTCTCCCAGCTCCTGGGTTGGTTACTGTGATAAACGGGCCAGGAGACCAGCTCCTTTTAAAAAGGCCTTTATTAAGCAGCACAGCTCTGGGGTGGGGGCCCGAGGGGTCGCGCACACCGCCACTGCTCCCACTGGACACCGCAGAAGAGGAGGATCCGTGCAGCTCTGTCACTAGGGCAGAGCTGGGCCTTCCTTCCTCACGGGAGTCCCTGGGAAGAGTCCTTCTTTAGGGCTCATAGTCTAGGCTGTCATCCCAGTCGAGTCTCCTCGAGGTTATGTCGGCCTCTGGAAAGAAGTCAGGGGACTCCTCTGGGTCTTCCTTGTTCGATGGTGCTGTTTTTATTCCTTCCCTTTTGCGTGGCTCGTTGTTTTGGGGTTTTTTCCAGTCTGGGTGCATCCCATAAGTCTCTGGTCTCTCTCGTTTGCATAAAAGTCAGTATGTCATCTTCCTCCTCAGGAGGGTACAGCAACTCGGGAAAGGGGTACAGTGTTGCCATGTGGGAGTCTAGGAGCAGTGGGGGCAGTGCCTGGCTGAACACGAACAAGAAACACAGGGTACAGCAACTTGGGAGAGGGGGCAGGGCCTGGCTGAACAAGGAACAAGAAATATGGGGTACAGCAATTTGCGACAGGGGTACAAGGTAAGTAAGGAGTTTACAAACAGCAACTGTAACATATTATTCTTAACAATATCCTGGGACCGGGGTACAAGGTAAGTAGGGAGTTTACAAACAGCAACTGTAACATATTATTCTTAACAGTTACTGCATACAAGCCCAGCTCCCATCACAGGGGTGATTAGTGTGTTCCTGCTGACCCCACAGGCTGAGCATTGCTTTTCTGGGATTCATTCCTGGGAAATGGATCTACTTGCTGTCATGGTCCTCTGAGGAGGAGGAACAAAGCTACAGGAGTTATGAAACCCCATGAGCCATCCAAACCCATGAGGCAATGTTGTAGTGCATCTAAAAATCTTGGTACCTCCCAAGGGTAAAACTCACTTCTGGTTTGTGTAATGTTAGTTCCTACCTGAAAACCTTCTTTCCCTCCCCGCCCCTCCCATTGGCTGTGACCTCCCTGCATCCCCTAATCACCCCTGCCCCCTGGTATAAGAGATAAGACCCAGAGCATTTTGCTCTCTCTCTTGCCCCGGATGGACAACAGACAATAAACCCGGGATTATTCCAGCAAGTTTGAGCCTCCTGTGTCTAGATACTTTGAGTCCATGTTGTATCCACTCCAGGACCCCCTCCGCCACCTGTGCCCGCCCGACCGTAGGGGCTGAACAAGCCCACATTAAAGGCTTATCGGAGCCAGGGTGAGCCGTTCTTTGGAGACTTTGGATGCAGTTTAAAAAAAAAAATACAGCAAAAAAAGTTTCCGAAAAGGAGTCAAAAATCCTCCAGAACTGGGGGACCGATTCCAGGGCAACAAGTATCTTTCCACCGCCAGAAAACTACAGAAAAAGGTAAGATTGAACTCCAACACCGGGCCGGGAGGGCTGGAGAGTGAAACAGGCCCCGGGGGACTGTGTTCCGTGTAACTCCTTCCCAGCCACAGCAGCCCCAAGCGTGTGGGGTTCCCCCAGCCGTGGGCAGAGACGGGGTCGGGGGGGAGAGGGAATTCTCCCTGCTGCCTGTACAGTGTGAGTTTAATTGTAATCCTTTTGGTGCAACCTTGTTTTCTGCGGTAGGGAAAATAGACAGATTGTGTGCAGAGCTGCTGTGACCTCCAAAATGGGATCCCAGCTATGCACACAAGAAAGGAGTCATACACAAAAAATACAGAATTTTTTAAAAACCACAAATGTAAAAATTTCAAAACATAAGATAAAACGGTTTGTATCATATTTGACTCAGCAAAGTAAACAGATCAAATTGTTGAAATTAGATTCAATACCTGCCTGGGATGAAATTGGAAATTTATTAATCTTAAAAATAGAAGGAGGAGACAAATCGGCCCTGAAATTCCTCCCGGTTTTTCTTTTAATTCGAAAAGAATTAGTTAACAGAGAAATAAAAACGGAAGACAAACAAGCACCACAGTATCCGCCTAACTTCCCTAACTTTTCCTCCAAAACCTCTGTTCTCGCAATAGAAAAGATACCCGAGACAAACAATACAAGTTCTGGTCCGGTGTGTCTCTCTCAGTCACCCAGTCCTGCCTCACAAGC